TTACCCGCGATTTTGAATACACACACTTGAAAATGAATCTTCCAGTGCCTTGCATTTTTTGGATGTTAACCTGAAAATAAACCCGAATGGTACATGGACAGAACAGTACCTTTAACAGTTTCTGTCCTGTGATTTACAAATGAGCTCTGATTCGTACCACTTTTGCGAGAGCTCGCCAAATCTGCTCTGACGCGACGATCGAATGTGAGCTGTAACGCGTCCCCTCGACATTACGTGCAAACGAATATCCGAAGAAGTTCATAGTCAGGCACTCACACGCGAAGCGGAATACCAGAAACCAACTGATGACTGATGTACTTAGGAAAAGCAGACCAAAATGACATGAGATTCCGGTTTCGTTTCCGTCAATCCATAAAAACACGTCATTGCGCTGCCGAGCTGGTGATTTTGCACCGAGTTAGAAAGTCGCTGTATAAATCCAACCTGAACAAATATGACTTGAGTTATCGCCTCATGTATTTATCTGTTTCACTGTACTTGCGGCTGAACTGAGAAGAGACTGTCCACAAGGATTTTAGAGCATATTCCACGAAACCTAGTCGCAAGTGGTCCGTTCTGCCTGCCAGTTCAGTCGCCCACCACATAGTTGAGTGCCCTATGTGTGAAAACCCACGTGAATCATTTAAGCTAATCAGCCGACAGCGCCTCTCGCCTGCTTCAGTTCGCTGAAGCTTCAGCGATTAGGCTGCTGAAACCCACTGTGTAAACAGACCGAGTTTTTCGCCAATCTCGCTCTGCCTCGGTGAGGCTAGTGGTCACAATCCTCTTACCCTGAGGTGTCCAAAGTCCGGCCTGTGGGCCAAATTCGGCCTGCGTTAACATTTCAACTGGCCCGCCGCCTCATCTTGAAATAATAAATGCAGGCTTGTCTTCTTCGTACGTGTTTTTGTTATTCTTTTTGTAAAACTGAGTATGGCCCGACATATTTTTACCTCACAAAAAGTTTGGACACCCCTGCTCTACTCGGAATGCGGGCGAGCATCAGACGAACTTGGATCGTTTTCGAGTATCCAATGACACGACATCTCGAGTGTCTCTGTGTGTAAACGGCTGATGAGAATATGCGAAATGCCTGAGTGAAGATTATCCTGTCGAAATGTTGTTCTTTCTTGCCATTTCTTTGATACATATATATATATATATATATATATATATATATATATATATATATATTCACAGTCTGTTAACAGACATTGTGCCATCAGAACCATGGCAGAAGAAAAAGGTGAAGAAGATGGGGACACTAATGCGATTAAAAAATATGGGAAACGAATTTTTTTGGTTTTACACACGCCATTTTGTTTTTTTGTTTTGTTTTGTGAGTTTTTGTATGTATCAAAGGGATGGTGAAATTGCGGAACAACATTGCCGCCACTGATGTCTGTTGCGGGCCATGACGTCCAATGTTTCCAACCACTGCAATTCAGCATCTCGTGGTCCCCAACCTGGAAGGCGGACTGGTCCGACTGCTGCCAAACTTGAGGTCGCCTTCTTCATACTCCTTCTCCACGTCATCGGCTGTCCACCGCGGCACTTTTTCCAATCGCTCCCTGGGAGTGCAAATAGCGCTCGACGTGGAAGGCGATGGGCTGGCATGCGCAGAACATGCCCGAGCCAGCGCATGCGATGTCGGAGAATAACGTCTTGAAGACTGGCACTATTCGCCCCAAGCACGCGGTCTCTCACCTCTGCGTTGCTTACGTGGTGTTGCCACCACACCCTAGCAATCCTTCGTAGACAGCGATTATCAAAGACTGATAGCCGCTTCATATCTTCCGAGCGAATAGGCCAAGTCTCACAGCCGTACAAGAGTACTGCACGGACGGAAGCATTGTACACCCTGCCCTTGAGCTTGAGACTGACATCACGACGACGCCATAGATGTCTCAGTTTGATGAATGCAAGGCGGGCCTTTGCAATCCGTTGTGATACTTCATCTCCAACACCGCCACCAGCCGTGATGCAACTCCCTAGGTAAGTGAAGCAAGGGACTTGCTCCAGAACATGTCCAGCAATGGTGAGCGCGGGTTCAGGCACCTGCCAATCCTGGAGCAGCGTTTTACATTTTCCCGGAGTGAAGCACAGGCCGTACTTAGACGCCTCCATCGCCAAGCGGTCCAGAGCGTTCTGGACGGATTGTGGGTCGTCCCCCAGCAAGGCGATATCATCGGCGTATTCCAAGTCCGTGAGTCTGTCTCCAGGGAGAAGTTCAACACCGCAGTCCTGGACACCTTCCAGTGCTCTTTGGAGAACATCTTCGATGGCGAAATTGAAGAGGAAAGGTGAAATAGGGCAACCTTGGCGAACACCGCTGGTCACAGCGAATGAAGAGGAGTGCGTGCCGTAAGCCCTAACTTTGCCCGACGTGTGACTGTAAAGTACTTTCAGGATGGTTACAAACTTGTCGGGCACACCTTTCTTCAGTAAACAGTTCCACAACGCAGATCTATCTACTGAATCAAATGCCGCTCGGATGTCCAAAAACACTACGATTGTTGGCCGCCGGTGGATGTGACGAAGTTCGAGAACTTGCCGAAGCGTGAAGATTTGGTCGATGCAGCCACGGCCTGGACGAAATCCAGCTTGTTCTTCTCGGGAAAACTCCTCTCTAGTCGTTGAAAGCTTGCCAAGTAGGACCGACACGAAGATTTTGGATGCGACAGAGATTAGGGAGATTCCGCGGTAGTTGCAGCAATCGGCGCGGGAACCCTTCTTGTGAATCGGGACAATGACCGATTCTCCCCATGAGCTCGGAACCTTTTCCTCAGTCCAAACTTTCGTGAACAGCGATAGGATTTCGCTGATAAGTACACTCCCACCATCTTTGAATAGAGCTGGTGGTAGGTTGTCGGGACCCGGAGCTTTGTGGCGTTTCAAAGATTGGACTACATTTCGAATCTCTGCTTCATTTGGGGGGGGGGGGCTGTGGAGACAGGCCAAGCATCATACATTGGGGGAGGAGGTGTCGCAGGGGACTGTGTTGGGTGGTGGAATTGAAGAGCAAAATGCTCTGACCAGCGACCCAATCGCCTGCGAAGGTTGGTGATCTTTGTGCCGTCTGCCTCGCAAATCGTCTGGCTGATAGCGTGGAAATTGCAACCAGTGGCCCTGATGATGTAAAACAGACGGCGGAACTTGCCAGCTGATGCAGCGGCTTCCATCTCACCAGCTTGTTTTGACCACCAAGATTCACTATCAGAGCGAAGGCTTGCTTTCAGCTGTTGCGTAATAGAGCGGCGGTGTTCGTTGTACTCTGCACCAGCAGGCACCGCCCGTCGACGATCCAGCAATTCTGATGATCTTCCCGAGATCCAGCATTTGGGAGTGGAGCGAGTGAGGCCACAGCTGGACAAACCGGCCGACAATAAGGCTTGCTGGAGACTTGCCCAGTGTTGATCAACATCCAGAGTGTGGGAGCGAGGGAGCTTTTCGCGAAGCTTTTGTTGATAATCTCTCTTCACCATTGGGTCCTCCAACTTGTAGGCGTTCAGTCGGGTGTGTTTTGACCTAGGCGAACCACCAAAACGCATGCAAACGGTCGCACACACCAGTGCATGATCGGTGTCGACGCATGTTGACCAAAATGATCGGCAGTCGCGTACACTGCCGCGCCACCTGCGACTTATAGCTATGTGGTCAATCTGTGACCAGCGCTGGGTTGATGATGGGGGGCGCCAAGTGGCGTACTGGCGTCCAGGATGACGAAAGCTGGTGCTGGAGAGGAATAGTTGATGATCAGCACAAAGACTGAGCAGTCTCTCTCCATTGTCTGAGCGAACATCATCATATCCATGCGGTCCTCCGAGGTGGCGCTCACATGGCAGCAGACGACCGACACGCGCGTTGAAGTCACCTGCCAAAACAATGATGTCTGTTTTAGGAGCCCTTAGGAGCAGCTCATGAAGGTTCTGGTAGAACTGGTCTTTGACGATGTCTGAGCTACAGTCAGTGGGCGCGTAGGCAGAGATCACGAAGAGAGCACGCTTTTCGACTCGATATCTGCTGACCTTACAAGAGCCATGGAGCCTCATCGCACAAAGGCGGCTATTGATCGGAATCCAATCAATCAAAGCAGTCTCGGCTCTAGCACTGAGGGCGATTCCAACACCAGCTTGCCCAGATGCGGCAGACTCGGCGTCACCAGAGAGGCGGAGATGGAACCGGGTGCGTGGGTGGAGCGGTGACACCAGCTGGTAGACCGAGTTAGAGTCCTGCAGTCGTGTTTCAGTCAGGCAGCAGATATCAATTCCAAGGGTCTCTAGCGTGCGTGCAACTCCCGCTTGCTGACCGATCTTATAATCTATTGCTACGGTTATTCATATTTTGCAATTTGCATTTCTCTTTTATTAAAATAAGGCGCAACATCACCTTTTTCTTGTAAATATATTAGTAAACTGTCTATTCGTAACCATCGGTTGGTATGGTTGTTTGGTAACGTTTCGCTCTTGACACAAGAGCTTCGTCAGATCAGATGAATCAGTGTGCAGTTGGAGTGGCATTTTATAGCGAACAGGGACGATAACCACGTTACCCGAGGCTTGGCCAAAGGTGTCGTTACAGATTGAGAATTGCTACTCTACTCCCATTTTTACCAGTTTGAGCTTATTCGTCAATGCCATGACGCACAAAAGAACATCTGGACCCTTCCCACTGTGACATCACAAGCTGTGACTGTAATGACACCTTGGCTCAAGTCCCGGGTAACGCGGCTCTCGTTCCTGTTCACTATAAAATGCCACTGCACACTGATTCAACTGATCTGACAAAGCTCTTGTGTCAAGATCGAAACCTTACCAAACATCTATGCCGACCGATTGTTACCAAACCTCTCCGAACTCATGACTACTCGATCGGTTCCAAGTATCTTCCAAGTATTTGTAACTTATATTCCTTGACATTACGACGCGCGGTTCAGTTGGGTGAGAGATTACTCACTTACCTTCGCTTATCTATTGCCTGTTTACTTGCTTTTCCCACAGCCCGGCTGGGAGGAGCGCATGCACACCAACGGTCGCATTTTCTTTATCGATCACAGTACGTTTTCATTTGTTTTTATCCTCTGATTCATGTTGCATCATTGCTCGAGCCGAGCTGGAACCATGCCATAAGTTTCGCATGTCGATTCTACGAGAATCCATGTGATTCTCGGCTGATGCAGTTACTTTGGCGCTTTCGCTTTCTAGCCGCGCTGTTTCACGTTCAGGTGTACAAACCCACACCATGTCGCTTACACTCGTGACTGATTTTAGTTAATTCAACTTTTGTGTTGGGTAAATCAGTTTACCATTCTAAGCGACTTGCCTTCATATGAAGTGTCCGTCGAACACTCGTTTCATTTCACCTGGCGAACAGATACCCGCACAACACAATGGGAAGACCCTCGGTTGGAACGTCTTGGTGGCCCAGCAGTTCCCTATTCGCGTAATTACAAACACAAATACGATTACTTTCGGTCCAGACTGCGTGCCCCCCATGATTCACAGGCCAAACTGGAATTGCGTGTTACCCGAGCGGGGATTTTCGAGGATTCTTTCCGACAGATCTACGGAATCAAAAAGACCGAATGTCTTATGCACCGGTGAGTGTTCAATGTATCTACATTTCTTTCCATGGTTCCGTTCGGTCTAATGATAATAATCATAGGTGTACTACTCACCAGCTGTGAAACTGCACCCAAATTTGACACAGATCATGTATGTACAGGTTATGAGCAAAATGAACTTGTGTGTTTCCGGAAAAGTATGTCTCACACTGTTGTGTCGACGCTGATGCCTTCACTCCAAGGCCACCATAAGAACTGCGAAGTGTATATGGCGCACTTTTTGGCTACTAATTTACCAAAATGTGCGCCAGATTGTACGCCATTATCTATAAGTGGCACTGTTTTTTGGCACAGCTAAAAATGCTTGCACACTGCATCTACTGAAATTACGTCATTGAATGCCCTCTACCGCGTTCCTGGTTGGCCGTCTGCTAACAGCTGCGCCCCGCGCTAATCATGAGCCTATACCTACAAGCACATGCGGGCGACCGGAAACATGTGCAACCCAGGTCCCGACGGGTACAAAAGGCAGCCGTTGAGCTGTACTATGCAGCGACAGTATGGCCGCCCCCCCACAGTACTATGCACAGATTTTAGGGAATCATCATGCTACTGACTACGATGCTTCGACCAAGTCGAATCATGCGAACGCGTACGCAGATACCAGTAAACTTACAGCAGGCGGCTGTTGCTAAAATGGTTGGCGGCATCCGGTTTCGGATTGGCCTGTCACGGTGTCCACTCACATGACGCCTGCGCCTACAGAGGGACCATGGGTGGCTTGCGCTGCACCACCCACAGGTCCAACCGCACACTCCATATCCAGTGTAAACCCGAAGGAATAAGACGGTGGCCACATTTCATCAACGGCTCCGGCACACACTCCTACACAGGCAAACATAAGCACGCTGTATTTGGGAAATCAATCGCACACAAGACGGTGGCTGGACCGTAGTCCGCTCCACACTGAGTGCATGGAACCACTCTTCGAGCCTAGCACGACCACAAGGACCGTGCACCCCGCCCCCTTCAGCAACGATCAGCTGTCTTCTGGAGCCAGTATGGACGAGGTAGTAGGTAATAGACAGGTAGGCACCTTGTCAACATGCATATCAAGCGCAGCTACACCGGGGATATCACGCAACAGCCAATCACTTGCAACGACAAGATGAAATAAAACAAATCCAATAATGCATATAGATACGATGACTTAACTCTTCGCTAAATTACCATATAAAGTAAGTTGGTTAGTAACTAATCCGCAAAAGTACAAAATGTCCACAAGTTACTTAAAAATTCTACAAACGCGCTAAAGTTAACGAAGATAAGCGTAATTAGCGTAAGCAAAGTGGCCAGTTAATAGTGGATTATTCAGGTAGGCAGAACAAACCAAATAAAGTGGGAAGAAATCTGTTCACATTAAAAAGACCTAGTTTAAGTGTAAGTTGGTTTAACCCAACTTCGGTGAAGATGCATCATGAATGCAACATCAGCCTCAACATGCTGCAATGAACATCTATTTAATACAGTATAGCCGTAGAAGGTGTGCATTTTGACTGTCATTTGAATCGGTGGTATCCATATTCTATGATATATATATCATATCAGTTAGATCGAAGTTCATATTGCCTCTGAATTTTCACTGTCCATGCCAATACTTGAACATGCACAATGGGAACGTACATTTCGCAGGTAATTGCGTACGCAGTAACGCTGTGGAAGCAAACCTGCAGTGAATGCACCAATGTGCGGTGCGCAATTTGTACGTTCTCTGAATGACGTCGTACATGTGCGCGAGCGTTTAAATGCCCATTTGCTTTTCGCTCCATATTGTCGAAATGCACGTCAGCAAAGATTATGCAAATGAAACGAATGCTTAATAATGCCTAGAAAGCTTGCACACCTGAGAATAGCATAGGGCGTCAAGCAGCATTAGCCACGGTGCGCTGGCAAACGACACAGGTACAGCGCAAAATACCCCTGGCGACAACAAGTGCTATTTCATGCCTTGCAACACACCAACATTTCCATCAGAATTACTTGACGTAAACATGTAAAATTAACTTATGTATGTTAATGAATTAAGTTTAGCATTATCGAAGAATTCCACACGTCTTAGAACAATATGTGCGCCATGTGCCGAATTTGGCGCACAATGGCGTCGTTTTTTCATCGCCCTGTGCTAGGTAGGATATTTATTCACATGTCTGAGAACAGACAAATGTACCATCAGAACCATAGCTTTAATGGCATGATAATGATGGTTCAAAAAACAGTTTTCTAAAATACAATGATACTCCAAAGAGGAGCCGGGAGACTTATATGTATTAAATCATACTTTGCTTACATAGTTTTGGTAAGGTTTTTCAGTGAAACTACTTAACTATATTCGAGCCAACCAAACAGAGGGACACTGTTGGGGTGCTTGTATTTCATGAATTGTTCTACTCCACCTTTTAGACGTTATCTGGACCCTCATTACATAGGTCGTCAGGCCATCTCTCCCACGAACAAAATGTTACCATCGCTTCCAGGTCGAGGTGTCCACCCAGCATATTACGAAATGATGGTACACTCTCACATGATTGTGATTGGGAGCCGATTCTACGGAGCAGCATGTTTGATTAGACGGATGTTGGACTACTTATTTGTCCTGCATCATTGTATGAGCAAGGTAAAGTATTTGATACGAAGGTCCCAAGTGGAATAGTGCTGCAATGTAGTCATGTCTCCGCATATTCCTTCGCGTTTTAGGTCCCAACTTCTCAACACTGGGGGTTTGCATTATTTTTAGCCCGTTTGCACCTACTTGGTGACGAATCTTTGGCATCCTTCTGCATCAAACCTTGCTCACGCATTTTCCACTTGGCCACCAAACCTGAGAAGCAACAGAGGTTGCCTGTCGCTTACGCACTACGAGAGCTTCGTTTTATATTCGCCTCTTCAGTGTGGCGGAGCTGTACGCCATTGGTTGCGTCCCCAGGTTGCGGATTAGGGACTGCCTTCCTTGTGAAGGTAACTGCGAATAATTCTCGTCTGTTTTTAAGGCGAGATGAATAAGCAGTCGCAGACAATCAGCGGCAGCGTCTCAGCTGGTGGGAAGTTCTGGGCTGGTCACCTGGCTCTCCATCAAATACCACAAGAGCTCGTACGGCGCTGTGTCAAAGCCAATGTGATCGACTATAGGGTCACTGACCGCTCACTTCTGTAACCAGAGATGAGTACCTGACGGAGTGTAGATGAACAACCTTGTTGGCCTCCGGCTTCTGTGTGGACTGATACCGAACTCAAAGAAGGTGAATGAGCCATCTGGCTGTCAACGGTTTTCATATTGACTAGCTGGTTGGACGTTCCAGCTACGTGCATGTATCGCCGCGCTGCCTTGCAAGCCATGTCTTTAAGACCAACAGCTCAGGGTAGGGTCCTTAAGTCAACCATCTGCCTCGGTCTTGGCAACCGGAAAGCTTTCTGCCCACACAACACATGAAACTCGGTATCCCTTCCCTTGACTGCGTCTTCTCTTTGTTTTCTTATTATTCATGTGTTGTGACACTGCTAAGTGTCACACTCTACCAATATCTTGAAATCCGTCATGTACACCGGCGGCCAACAGTTGTAGTGTTCTTGACTCATGTGATGGGGCCTGGAAATGCTGTAATGCCGATCGAACGTCATAGGCCAGACCGATAAGGAGTGAGCATGTTGCCGGAAGCAGATTGGTCAGTCAATCAGGAAATAGTTGGCTCGTGAAGGCGTCCAGCCTACAACTATCCACTGAACGTGAAAGTGACCAATCAGACGCCAGCAGACGGAGTGCATACTGGTGCACCCTTGAGTCAAGACTTGTGGCATTGGACCGAGGGAAGAAACTCGCGGGCCCAATCCCGCCAATCGTACATCCACTAAGAAAGTCAAGGTGATTTTAGACAGAGTGAACGTGGCGAGCAAGCATAAACCAATGGAAAAGGAGTCAGCGACACAATGCAAATAACAGGGATGAGCCATTGAAACGGACTGTTGTAAATAGTATATATACTCCACAACTTAGTAGATCTCTATTGTAGAATTGTTTGCCAAAAATGGTGTGCGCGACAAGTTTGTGACCATACTGAAATAACTACACATCCACACGTCGGGCAAAGTCAGAGATTACCGCAGGCTTTCCTTTCTGTGTGCCACCACCAGCGGCGTTCGACACTTTTCACTTCTTTTCAATTTTGCCACTGAACATGTCATCCAATGAGCATTGGAAGGTGTCCGAAACTGCCGTATTGAGCTTCTTCTATATGACTGAGTTGCGGACTTGAACTACGACCATGATATCGTTTTGCTTGTCTGATTCGCAAGCCGTTCAAAGCGCTTTGAATCGCGCAGCGATGGATGCGTCTAAGTATGGGCTGTATTTCACTCAAGGTACCTGCAAAACACTACTCTAAGATTGGCAGATGCCTGTGCCTTTCCTCGCCATTGCTAGTGATCTGGAACAAGTCCCCTGCTTCGCTTATCTGAGGAATTGCGACACGGCTGGCAGCGGTGTTGGAGATGAAGCCTCACAATGGATCGCAAAGGCCCGCCTTGCATTCATCAGACTGAAACAGCTATGGCATCGTCGCGACGTCAGTTACAATCTGAAGGGCAGGTTGTACATTGCCTCTGTCCTTGCGATCCTTTTGTACGGCTGTGAGACCTGGTCTATTCACTCGGAAGACATGAAGCGACTGTCAGTGTCAGACAATCATTGTCTGTGTAGGATTGCTCGCATGTGGTAACATCACATGAGCAACACAGAAGCCCGAGACCGAGTGCTAGGAGCAAACTGTCCCTTCCTCCGAAACGTTACTCTCCGACACCACATGTGTTGGCTCGGTCATGTACTACGGATGCCAGCCTACCCCTTTCCCCATCGAGTGTTATTTGCTCTCTCCGGAATCGATTGGAAAAAGTGTCACGGCAGTTAACCAATGACGTGAAGCAAGAGCAAGAAGAAGGCAATCTCAAGCTTAGCATCCGTCGGCATTGTCTGCCTTGCAGGATCA